GTACGCTCACCATAAAAAAGAGAGACTGAAAGCGAGAAATTACCCCCCCCCCCCGGGGGGTAATTCTCGCCTTGGGATCTTGGGCACACATGCACACGTGCCCAGCGTGAATTTAAGCCACCAGAAACGGGACTCGAATAATAGTCGACTACATGGGAGTCCAGCGACATAGCCATACGCTATCTGCTGGTTTTTATTCGTTTTTTTTTTTTCAATTAGTTAATACTCAGCACATGATGGACATTCAATAAATTGTTCCAGTATACCCAAGTATGGGCACACACTGAAAGTATGCCCCCTCAAAAAGATCAGCTAGAAAATGCTAAACGTTTCACCAAATTAATTCACTCATGGTAATTATGTTCCTAACAGAACAGAACCTGGGGAATCAGGTTGGTCCTGTTAATACAGCGCACACTCCTGTCACACCCATGCTCTACCTCTCCATTCTCCACTGTAGGGTGGAGTATCACAAGAGGCACCACAGTGTCACATCCTGCCCATCCCCATTTGCATCGCAACTCCATGAGTCTTATGACGCTAGGGCCATTAGCATGTTTCATAGCCTTTTCTATGAATAAACCATACACAAAAATTAATTCCCCAATATCGGAATCTGCTGCTGGCACTTAAAAAAGAAAACTGGTTTTCCCAGCTTTGCTCTTTCTCTAAAAGAGTATCGCACGCATGGGCAACTCAAGTATACCATAAGGGACCAACAACACAGGTACTACTGATTTTCAGCTAAACTATGCCAGTAAAATGAGAAAATGTCATCTCGATTTTTAAGTGCAATTCCTCATCAGCCACAAACTGATCTGTGGAATCTTGATTCCCCTTAAGTTTTTTCCTAGACCCTGTCCCTTATTGTCATTTTGCAATTAGCATTCTACAGATGCATGTACCAAAAGACCATGCAACTCTTCCACAAATATATTAAGTATCTTAACAACTCTGGGCAAGTCTAGTTAGGAAAGGAATAAAAATAAGGTTGACTTTTGGTCTCATACATGAGCTCGTTTTCAATGTTAACATAGGATAATCAAGAAATTGGCTAAATTTTAACAACCTAATTTTAAGATGTCACAAAAGATTAAACTTCCCTGCAGAATAGAAAGACTCTAAATTGCTGCCTATTCTTCAGTTCTAATCACCATATGACTTAATACTGCAGAATAACATGCAACTACTGTTATTTTTTTCTCTCTTAGCTAATGAAAATTTTGATCTAAAAGTTTTAGATGAGAGCCAATTTAAATGATACTCATTGACTTATTCCCTCTTTTCGAATCTTATTTTTAAGCACTTAACCTAGGCAATTAGCTAAAATTTTCCAGCAAAAGTATTTATTACCAATATTCTAGCCTAAATTGCCACGGGTATTCTCTTTCTCTATTTTGAGTAAATCTCATGTGATTCTAAAGAAGGAACTGTACAGATATTAACATTTGCTTAACACATAAACCTTAATGAAAACAAAAAGAAATGCTGTCTTCATCATAGCAAGTAAAAAGTATTTCAAGTATACTAGTTTAAACTTGGGATAAATGCCTAACAAAAAAGGCAAAAGTATTTTCTATAAAATCAACTTTTAATTTCTCCTGTAGCCTTCACAAAGTGAAACTCTTAGTATTAATACTGTTATTTTAAATGCATGTTTTAGCTAAGAAAAATCATTATTTACTAAAAATGAGTTTCAGGACCCACCGATGGCATGGTAGGTTAAGGTGCTGGACACTCCCACATGGCCAACCATGGTTTGAGTCCCTGGCCTGGTGGCTTGCTTTCTCACTTTCCCTCTCTCTGTCTCTGCCTGTCTCTCTCTGGTCAAATTAAAATTAAATAAATAAATAAATAAAAGAAAAGAGTTTCAAGTATGTACCAAAGATTAAAAGTGAAATAAAAAATCCAAAATGTTTAAGTTACAGGTTAGCCCAGAAAGTAATTTGTATTTGTTTTCAAATACATTACTACGAAACTATTATAACTAGGTTTCAAGTGTGAGGCTTTTGAATCTACACTAAAAAGTAGAAATTTAATGAAAACTATTTAAATAAAAGCCTTTAGTTTACTGCTCTGAAATATAAATTCTATGTTTTTAGGTGTAGGAAAATTAGAATTATACAGTTAATAAACTAAAAAGTTAAATTTCACTGTCAGTAATTAACTGCTGTCAGCTTAATTTCAAGGGAACCTATTGTACATTAAATTTTTAAAAAGTGAACTTATCTACCCTCTCATTTCAGCACTTTCTCAATTTTCCTATTACAATTAACAATATAACTAAGCGGTCAAGTCTTCCAGACCAGTAACATCAGAATTTATTTTTAACTCCTGACTCCTTCACAAATATTCCTTCAGTCCAATCCAATGTCCTGCCAGTTCTTCATTCACGCTCTCTCAAATCTGCTCCTTTCACCCCATTTCTACATTATACTTTACTCCCTCATGATTTACAACAAACCCTACTCTCTAAGAGGGCTCTTAATGTATCTCTAATCCTGTTGATGAAATCATCTTCAATTATCTTCTTCAGCAACCTGCAGTAAATCCAGGTCTCTCTGGAATCTCAACCAGTGTTTACAGCACCCCCCCACACACACATGCCCTCCATCAGCTAACTTTCCTATATTTCTCAAATTCCATCTATATTCACTTTCCTTTTTAGACACCCTTTCATTTAAAACTTACTTGCTGCCTTTCACGCAAAACTCACCAGCTCTGTACCTCTATATATTCCTTCTACCTACAATTCTTCATGCCTTTCTATCAGTTCAGGAAGTCTTCCTTCTTCAACCCATCTAAGTCAAATTCTTTGTCCCTCTGAACAGATTCAATTTGTAATTTATAATCTTGTCATCATCATGCTAGTGTTTTCATATTTCCCCCCCTTAACCTGCAACTAAAACTAAATTATAAGCTTCTGAGCCCAAGGGGTAAAATTTTTTATGTACCTCTGGTTCAGAACATTAGTACTCTAATGAATGCTTAACTCACTCCCTTGTCTGCTAAATGTCCTTAAAGTCAAGGTCGTCAAAAACAAAACTGACATTAAACTCCAATTTTTTAATATGTTAAGCTGTCCTATATAATAATAGAAAATTAAACATTGTAACCTATATACTTCACAAGAGCTACTCCATTCTTAGTCAATATTACTCTACCGAAAATTAAGGAGTCATTTTCAAAGAATATCCTGGAAATAAAAAGTCCCAAAATTTAGCATTATAATCTAGCATTATAGATCTCTGAAATAAACCTAATAAATTATTTATCTAAGATTGATTTCAAGCAGTTTTTAAACTATATTACCAAGATGTAAAACATTCAAAACACTCCAGTACAAGAGGCTCTTAAGTTAGCTATTATAAGATTTGCTTCATCTTAGCTGAAAATTACCTCGGAATTTTCAAATGACCCCATGAAGTGCTTAGAAAGTGTGATCCCTCCCTAAAAGATGCATAATCAGCTTCCCTCTTCACATACCCTACATTCTCTACAAGCTAGTCACAAAAAGAAAAAGAAAAAAAAAAATCAGCTTTCAAAAATAATCACATGCAACTGTTACCTCAGACCACTCTGTTTCAGGCAAGTTCCAAAAGCCAACTTGAATTGAACTCTGGAGTTCAATCAAAAGTAATCATTTCATGTTGCTTAAAGATGTAATCAAATTCACCTAGCAGCATATACATTTGTTTCTTAATCTCAGTTCTTCAGTTCCTAGTTCCCCTAGGCAACAAAATAGTTTGTCTTTGCCCTCATCAGTGTCCTTTCTAGGAGAAAAAGGAAACAATATAGATACTTTTGACAAATTCTGGAAATAGTTTAAAGAAGCTGTCACTAAATACCAAATAGGTATCTCCACTGAGATACATTAGAACACTAGATACTTAGTATAGCAAAAACCTCAAGAACAGACATTTCAGCATAAATCCAAGACAAGAGTACAATCTGGAGACAACCCTGAATGCAACCCCAATATTCCTGATTTCCAGAACCACACAGCCTTCTGCAAAAGCTAGGATGGGAAGGACTAAATAAATAACTAAACCCACAGTTTAAATGTGACAGAATCTAAGCCAAGAGTATTCTAAACAGTCCTAAAAACAAACTCACTGTACTGTAGAACATTTAACAAGTAATGAATGCAATGCCACCCGGAAACTGAACTGAAACGACACAGTGACAATTAACATTTAACTTGTTATTTGGCACTATGACAACACAAACCTTAACCAAAACTTGAAACTACTTCTAAGTTACCTTTTGAATAAACATAAATTATACGGTGGTAGATTGGTGATGTCAAAACAGAAAGGTTAAGAGATAGCATAAAAAATCACTTATCCGGTAGAAGACAATGCATTTAGAGATGCAACCGCTGCTGGGTATTTATGGGCTCCCAGTGGCCCCTTCTAAAGAGAGGAATCAAGGCTCGCCTCCGAACGGGAATGCTGGTTACTGCGGGAGTTCATCCCGAGATTAAGATACTTTGTACAGCCACACAGGCGAGAAAGAAATGTTAGGAGGGTGGGACACAATGTCTTTGTTAAGTATACAAAGCTATAACACCTAAGACCTGGGCTGGCTAAAATTTCCTTCCTTCGTTTCAAAAGACACACACTGCAAATGTTCATAATGGTTACGAATCAAGTCTCGTCCTTATTTAAAAGGATGACAGGTAAGCATTTCCATCACTGTTTTAACTCAAGCACTCGATAAAGCTGACTACTAACAGCAAGAAAAGTGTAAGAAATAAGTTTCATATGTAGTCGTACAAAGAAAAAATCATATTCTTTCAATTCAAGGTTAATGAGACCGGGCGAGGAGGGGTGGGAAAAGAGGGAGCTGCCTCATCCTTGACTAAGACAGGTTTTGCCCTTTTCCATTACCTCTAATTGCTTTATCAGGAGGTCTAATATTTTAAGAGCCTGGTATGTTGGGGCTTCTTATTTAAAGGTTGAGGTAGAGAAGGGGTGTAAAATAAAATCAATACTCACTGCTAACTTTCATGCTGCCAAACGCTGAAGGCTGCTGCACTGGCTTGCAGCTCTCCGCAAAGGAGGTGGTTCTGGGCCGCCCTGACATGATCACTCTCTTCCCGAATCACCTTTTCCTTCCTTCCTCGTTTTCTTCCTTTTGTTTTATGTTGGGGTGTTAGGTTAATGATAAATGCAGCATTAAGTTCTCCCACAAAGAAAAAGAAAAAGACTTCGTCTTCTTGGCTTTTCACTCCTTTTGTATAGCGATTTAAAAAAAAAAAAAGGAAAAAAACGAGCAATGTATTTCTCCTTCTAGACAGATCGGTACGGATATTTAACACATAGATGATTTGGGGGTTAAGAAAAAAAAATAGCAATTCTTTCCCCTCCTTTTCTTGGGAATGGAGGAAAGGGGAGGAACTAAAAAAATATATCACATAAAACAGGGACAAATACTTGATTGAAAATAAGTACTTTAAATATTATATCTTCCTCGGGGATTTTTTTCCGAGTCAATGAAGAAGGGAAGCGGCGGAAGGATCACGAGTCTCACGCTTGAAGAGAAGGGGGATGGGAGGGAAGGAGGGAGGGAAAGGGAGGGGGTGGCTCGGAGATGCGACGGGAAACGCTGCGGCTCCGGCAGCGGCGGGATC